TAGGCTTTAGTCTGCTAAGGACACATGAGAAGCAGAGCCCTGCCCCACCCTCCTCAGGTCTAGCCAGCTCCTCCTCTACCCACCTTAATGAAGAAGCTGACGAGCCAGAAAAGGAAGCGGTAAAACCAAGATAAGTGCTTCATGATCTCTGTGTATACAACACCTGGGTCCACAGAGTTCACAGTCACACCTGAGAGGGTGAGACACAAGTATAGTGCAAAGTGAAGTGAGAGGGGGATATTAGGAAGAAAGAGTTAAGTGTGGGCCTACGATGTGCAATGACGGGAGGATCCTACCGGGTCTGTTGGGTAGAGGTGACCAGAGACGTGGGAGTGCTGCCAGGGAAGCCAGTGCTCCATAACCGACATGAATGGTGGTGTCCCAGCCAGTACGCAGACATCGGTATTTGAAAGTGTTGGGTGAACTTTAGGAGGAACGTGATGGATGGTGTTGATATTGGAAAATGCTAGAAGGAGAGGGATATTGTGGGTGATAAGAGAGTTGGAAAAGGTTGAAAAGTAGATGTGAAGATGGGGTTGAGAGAAATATAGGGTGCACAGATGATAAATGGAGGAGATTAACAGCTGGCTTGGGGGATACTGGGAGTATTTTACGGCCAAGACATGTTGGGAGGAGATGTGAGGGGTTGGGAGCGGAGGAGTAGGGGGTGTCAGAAGCAGTTACCTGTCCCTTGAAGTCTCCGAGCAAGCTCCCCAGTGAATGAGGTCAAAAGCAGTTTGCTGCAGTAATAGTTCTGGTTGAAGGTCAAAGGTCTACCAGCCCCTGTCAGATGTCCCTCATCAATGTACCCACGTGCTTGCTGGAAGGAAGACACATTCACCACCCGGGCTGACCCTGCCCGTTGGAGGGCCCCTGTGTGGAGAGAGGACCACAATCCTTCAACCCAAGTCCTGGGGTAAACTCCCATGCCCACTGCCCAACCTGCTTCTCCAGGAGAGCAGGGCCCATCCAGGGCTTTCAGGAGAGGGTCAGTGGGCCCCCCAGCCAGGCACAGGGGGTAGGCACAAGAGAGCTTAATGTGAACAGAGATTTTGTTTTCATTAGCTGCTTTCCTAATGCTCTTCCTCCTCTTTTATTTCAGCGTGTGGAGTTTTACCTTGCTTTTCTTCTCCTCGCCAGTTGGAGCGAATTTAATTGATCCTTGTTTGTGTTTTACCTGACTGATGGCAAAGAAGGGAAGGAGAGGCTGGAGACATGGTGAAAGCATTCATTCATTCACTTTTTCAACCCACAAATATTCATTAGGCCCCTGGATTATGGCAGACATCAAGATAGGTGCTAAGGACATAAGGATGGTAGGTTTGCGGGCAAAGAAATGTGTGTAGAGATACTTGGGAAAGTGTTTAAAAAAAAAAAACAACTATCTTCCAAAGGAACAAAAATAAAATTACAATCAATAGAACAAGTTAAATCTTAAAAAAAAAATAGAGTACCTAACTATATGAAAAAAAGTCTGGATTATATGAAGCATGAAAAGTAGTAGTTGTCATATATGAATTTACAGTGTTGTTTTCAAAATGCTAAAACTATTCTGAGCCCTACATTTAAGTTAAGAATCACAAAGGAAAAAACTGAGCAGGTAGTATTTAGCCAAAATTTGCTGGAGATAAAATTATTCTTAAGGGGGACAAAGGACCCCAAACTTGGAGACATAGAATAATTTAAGAAAATTATTCTTAAAGGGGACAACGGACCCCAAACTTGGAGACATAGTGGTGTAAAGACCAAAGGGGCTCAGAGCCTAGCTGGAGACTGATCCTCACAGAGCAGTGTCAGTGCGGGAACAGAGATGTGTACAAGGGGCTAAGGAAGCCCCATAAAGGGGGGGGCACCTGGGGGAGGCAGAGGTGTCAGGGCAGGAGCCACAGCACAGGAGATATCTGTGCTGAGTCTTGGCAGATGAAGTAAAGTTAGCCAGGCTAAGGGGGTGGGAAAGAATATTCCAGATAGAGGGAACCACATGTGCAAAAGCACACCCAGAGGTAAAAAACAGAGCATGGTCGAAGAGCTACAGATTGTTGGCTAGAGAAGAGGGTGTGGGTTAGGGAAGGGCCAAGGGTGAGGCTCTCAGTCAGCAGGGGGTCTAGTAAGTGGAGAGAAGGGACTCAGTTTATCCTGTAAAGGGTAGAGCACCTTCAAAGGATTCTAAGCAAGAAAGTAATAAGGTTGGGCCCGGCCCGGTGGCGCAAGCGGCTAAGTGTGCCTGCTCTGCTGTGGTAGCCCAGGGTTCGCCGGTTCGGATCCCGGCGCGCACTGACGCACCGCTTGTCCAGCCATGCTGTGGCGGTGTCCCATATAGAGTGGAGGAAGATGGGCACAGATGTTAGCCCAGGGCCAGTCTTCCTTAGCAAAAAAAGAGGAGGCTTGGCATCGGATGTTAGCTCACGGCTGGTCTTCCTCACAAAAAAAAAAAAAAGAAAAAAAAAAGTAATAAGGTAAAAAGTAATTTCTAGAAATGGCAGAAGGGAGAATAGATGAGGGAAACAGGAGAGAAGACAGTTTAAGAAACTATTACTAAGCAAGGTACAGACAGGGTGTTGCAGCCTGTTACAATTTTGGGGAAGGGGAACAAGCATTCAGACTTGCCAATGCAGTTTTGCCTGCTCTTTGTTCACTTTCCATTTGAGGCTAACGTAATCTGCCACTAAAGATTACACGAGACCCTAGCAACATAGTTGCCTCCCAGGAGGGGAATAAATGGCTGGTTTTCAAGGAGAGGAGACTTTTTTTTTACCCTATACCCTTTTGTATACTTTCAGTTTTGTACTTTGGATGTACTACCCGACCAAAAAAAATTGATTTTCTTTTAAAGAGGCTATTACACAACCCAGGAGAAAATGTTAGGAAGAAGGTGCCTGCCATCCGCTCCGCCCCCCCCACCCCCCACCACAGCCCAGGAGGAACTCAAACCTCCTTCATCAGAAAAGATTACAAAATCAGAAAGCCAAAGGACTTGGATCTCAGGCAGTGGTGTGTTCATCCACATCTCTGGTGGATCCTGAACTCTTTGAGAGCAGGAAGTCAGTCTTCTTGTTCTCTGTGTTTCTAGTGGCCTAGTCCACCCTTGAGAAGTATCTGTTGAGATGAGTGACTCTACTGATCTGGCTAGAACTCGGAGCTAGGGGAAGGAGAGGTGGGATCTTATATCCCCTTGCTGGTTGTATTCTGAGATGACTGATTCCATTACCAGCCTCCTATTCCTGACTTGTGCCGGATGGGTTCCCCTGCTGTGTGCAGCAAGGGCGGACTGGATCATCGCTCAGCAGCAGCTGGGTGCCAAAGGGAAGGAGGTGGCCATGGGAGACAGTAAGCCATGAAAATGTCAGGGGTATGGAGAAGCAGGGGCAGCAGAGAAGGCAGACACCCATCCTTCCTTACCTTGGAGCAGATTTGTGAGCAGAAAGGGCCCGATATAGTTGGTGGCAAAGGTGAGATCAAGGCCCTCTGGGGTAAGTGTCATGGGGAATCCTGGGAGGAGATAAGAACACAGGTGGTGGGTGATGGAGGGACTACCCGATAGGAAACAAGGTCTGGGGGATATACTGGGGTTCAGTAAAAATGCCACAGGAGCATGTATGTGCAAAGATGGGGGCAATGAAGTTTGAGGCTGTAACTGAAGGTAGGCTTTTTACGGTAGTGTATGAATTAGAGTGTTTCAGCAGGATGCACAGGTTAGGCTTTGGAGATGCCTGTTTTGGGGTCCCTGAGCTAGAAAGGAGGCTACTGAAATGTGTTTGGGGGAAGAAAGTTAAGGCACCTACCACAGACTGCAGCATTGTTAACCAGCAGATGTATCTCAGGATACTCCTGCAGAAGCCAACGGGCAAAGCTCCGGATGGACGCCATGGAGCTCAGGTCCACCTCACCAAGAAGGAGGTGGTGGCACTTTAAAGCTGCTTGGATCTCGGCCAGGGCTTGCTGTCCACGCTCGAAGCTACGGCAGGCAAGGATCACCTGGGCCCCTCGGCGGGCCAGCTCCTGGGACACAACCTTCCCAATGCCTGTGGGAGGGCAGCTTCAGAGCAGGCTAGTCTGGGGAGTGACCGGAGGGCAATGGGGCAAGGGGAGGGACAAGGGTGCTGACAGTGGGTGCTAGTCCTCTTCCCTGCCCTCCCTGTTGGGGCTGTTGGGGGCTGAGGTCCCTAGTGAGGTGACAAGGTGGGAGGAGCACTCACCACTGTTGGCCCCAGTCACCACTGCCGTCTTCCCAGTCAGATCGGTGGAGCAGTGCTGGAGGTCCCAAAGGTAAGACTTATGCCAGAGCCGCACACATAGTCTAAGCAGGAAGACCAGAACGAGGAGGACAGAGCCAGGGCCCCAGACCAGGGTGCTGAGTAGAGACCACATCGACATAGCGGAGACTGCTGGCTGTGAGGGTGGAGGGGGCTAGTCAAAGCTGTGTGGGGATTAGCAGTGAGGCTGGTGTGGAGCCTAAGACACAGAATTTAAGGGAGCAAATACTCTTGGATTTGTTCAAGCACGCTGTTTGAGCCTGAGAGTGAGTTCCTCCTTAAATTGCGTGCCCAAGCCACTTGATTGCCTCACCCCAGTCAAAGGTCCAAATCAAATATCAAGAGTCAGGGCTTCCCCAGCCCTGCAGGGCTCTAATTCTCTATTTGCACTTTAAGGTTAATTGACAGAGTTCCAGTGACTGGAGAAGCAAGAACTCAAACTCTTCATGTCTTGAGTCAGTCTGCGCTTAAGCAGGGCCATCCCCTTCCTCCTCCTCTCCAGCTGAGGCAGCTGCCACTTTCAGCCCTGCTGTCTGCTCCTCTGCCGGGAGGGGCGTGGTTCTCCAGAACGCCTCTGCTGGGGAGCAGCCTCTGTCCTAACGAGGGTCTCCTAGGGGTGGTAATGGGGTTGTTCCCTGGAGCCAGTGTTCCATATTCTTCTAGGCCTGCAGGACAACCGCTCCTCTCCAGTTCAGTGAGAGTATACACCCTTGGAAGAAGCTGACAGAGATATCAGGACAATTGGTTAAGCAGCTCAGGTGTTTATTTCTGGCAAGCAGACAGAAGGAAGGTAGGATTCCCACCGCCAGAGGTTCAGGACCCAGTATGGGGCAGGTACTTGGAGGAGAGTGACCACACTTTGGGGGTTGAGTTCTTTATTAGCTGTGCCACCGTCACCTGTGGCTTCGGGGCACCTGTCTGGATGGGGTCCTGCTCAATGGGTGGAGAGGCTGGGCCTTCTTTGTCCTCCTGCTGGGATGCTGCAGAGCTGAGCAGCACCTGGGTAGTTGGGTTCCACATGCTCACACCAGGAGCCAGCTTCATTGCTTCCGGCAGCAACATGGGTTTCCACATCACCTGGGACGTGGCCTCGAGGACTCGGGGCTCAGGATGAGGCCACCTGTGAGGATCCTGGCCCTCCTGGTCCCCAGGATTCAGGCCCTGTGGAGGTACGCAGGTGCGGCCGGCCCATAGGTCGCCCAGCAACTCGGCGTCTCCATCCCAGCCCCTGGGCCACTTGGCACCCGGCCACAGTTTGGGGCTGGGGGTGCGGGCCACGTCAGGGAGCACCGGGTGCGTGGCGAGAAAGCGGAGCCCGGGTCTGGGAAAGGGCAGGTTTGATCCGAAGCCTGGCGACGGTAGGCCCAAGCTTAAAGTGGGTAATTGGAGGGCGGGGCAGGGGCCTAAGGCACGGAAAGGAACGCCAGGCAGGAAAGGGAAGAAAACTTCGGGGGAGACGTGGACGCCGGGGCCGGGGGCTAGGGGTCCGGCCGTGGCCTCGGTCTTCTTGCCCCGCGGGCGTCCGCGGTAGGCTTCCAGTGGACGCGCCTCGGAGTCTGGAAGTAGAACTTCGGCCAGCGGGCGCACCCAGTGGCGCGGCAGCCGCGCGGGGTCCAGGCGCGCCACCGCCACCTTGCGGCCCACCCTGTAGTGAGGCATGCTCAGCCCAGCGTCCGGGCATTGCGGCTGCTGCGGCTGGAACGATGCGGAGGGCCTGACTGTGGTGGAGTCGCCCGCAGAGGGGCTGGCCACTGACACACCCGAGGCGACGCGGGCTATCTTCTCCTTCTTGAGCTCCGGCCGGTCCCCAGCAGCGTGCAGCTGGGGCGTGCAATAGTAGAGGTCCTCGAGCGAGAACTGGGAGCTGAGGGGCTGCGCCCTCTCGGCGGAGGCCTGGGGGCTGGCTACGCGGGAGCACTCCAGAGAATAGGGAGGAGTGCGGATGCACACCATCTCCACCGACGGCTGGAGGCTCCCGTTCAAGGACCCGGCCGAGGACAGGTGGCTTCTAGCCTGGCCGTCCAGTCCCTCTAAAGGACGCCCGGGCCCTCTTTCTTGAAACAGCTCCAGAGTGGGTGGGGCGCCAGGGATGACTCTCAGCTCGGGAGAACGCTCCCAAGATTCCATCTGCTCCTGTGCTCCTGTATCCATCCACGGTCTTCCTAAAGGGATCTGGTCCACGATCCCTTGGTCCTGGAGAAATGCACCCGGGGTGGGAGGTAGTGAGACATGAGAAAAGGGAGAGAGGAACTACGGGTGGAAGAGTCCAGAGAGGCCCTGAGGAGAATGAAGACGCGGCGGGGGGAGTTCGAAGGGAGCTACGGGCTGGGCTTACTTCGCCTTGGAAAGTCTCCTCCAGCCCCACCGAGGAGGGCGCGCGCAGCACAGGCACAGATCCCTGAGCCCAGGCGTCCGTTGTGCATGCCGAGGGCTCCTCGTCCTCGCCCCACGTGGGGTCCTCGGCCACTGCAGATTCTCCCTCGTCCCGGGCCAGGAAGCGCCACTCAATGATCTGCAGCATGGCCTCCCGGGCCTGGCTGATGGTGAATGGAATGCACTACGGGGGCAAGAGAGGGTCTTAGCCCGGCAGGAAGGAGTTGGAGAGGGGGAAGATGGGTCTGGAGGACCGAGATCCAGGCCCACCTGCTGGGTCAGGTAGACTTTGAAAGCAGAGCCCATGACTCGCGCAAGCAGATCGGCCAAGATGTCCCCCACGATGTCTTCGCCTTCCTCGAGTGCCGTGAGAGCCATCCACTCGGCCTCGGTGAGCCGCCCAGGCACGACTTCCACCTGCGGCACCAGCACCGTAGGCGGCCGCACCTTTTCTGCCTTGGATCGGGTCATCCCGCGGTCTCGGACCTGCCTCTCCTGCCTCTGTGGGAAAGAAACAGGGCAATCAGGGCAGGACACCGGAAGTGGAACCGAGAAGCAGCTCTAGACTTGGAGGAAGCTTTCTCAAGTTGTCCAGTAGGAAGGAAAAGCCTTTTGAAAGGGACAGTTTACTAAGAGCCTACTATGTGACAGATGCTTTTTAGGTGACTGACTTAGCTAATTTAACTTTCATAACAGCTCACTAAGCCCATTTTACAGACAAAGAAACAAACTTGACACAAGTTAACCATCACTTGCGTGGGATCACACAGTATACTCAGGCTATATACAGCTCTAACTCCACAGTCCTTGCTATTTGCACTAATTGAAAGCGTCCCAAATTCTTGAGAGTTCATCCTGAGAAAGATGAGTCAATAAATGGTACTGGAATTACTGGTGCTGTTTAGAGTCTCCACCCATCCCCCAAATCAACTTAGATCCTCATTTCACAATATTCATCTAAATAAATTCCAGATGGATTAAAGGATAAACACACACAAATAAAACAAAAATATAAACAAAAAATATAATGTAGGAAAAATAGGTTAAATTGTCATATAATCTCTGGATGAGCAAGAACTGCCTAAACATAAAAGTAATGTGAAAAATAATAAATAGGTAGATAGGTGTATAGATATAGGTCGTTTCCTTCACTTATTTTTTAAAAGTTCCTCATTACAAGCTGATATTAGTAGTTAGGATTTACTGGCACTTAAAGTATATCAGTCACATACATTTACTCAATTCCTACATTTTTTAGACTATGTAACATTTTTATCCCCATTTTACAGAATTTGCCCAGGATCATATGGCAAGGAAGTACTAGTGGAGTCATAATGCATATTCAGGTCTGACTACAGAGCCTGACTTTATCCTGCTGCCCCAAAAATATTTGCAACAAATATAAAAAAGAATAAATATCCTCCAATATATTAAAAACTCATACAAAATAAGAAAAATCATAAGACAAGGATAATAAGCAAGACATAACATTTCACACAAGTGGAACTACAGATGACTCATAAACATTTGAAAAGATGTCCAACCTTCAAAAACATCAATTTCAGTTTTACAAATATACCCAAAGGCATACTCTGAAATGAAAATAAAAATATATTCTCCAACATATTCCTTGTGGTGTCATTTATAATAGCAGAATATTGAAAACATGTTTAACAAAAAGAGAATATACGGCTAATTGTGCACTATCTATATGATGGAATGTTATGCAATGAGTAAAGGTAATCTTTAGGAAGAATTTGCAATCGCATAGGAAAACACTTATGATGTAACGTTAAATGAAAGAAACAGGATACAAAATTACATATCAAGTATGATCTCAGATATGTAAACCAGTATGTGTTGAAGGAAAACACCAAAATTGTAACAGTGGGTATGTTTCTTTCCTATGCTCTTCTCTATTTTGTAAGTTCTCTACAATGAGTTTGTATCCTTTTATACTCAAGAAAAACCCACTTAAAAAGACTAGTCCCAAAAATTCATTTTAGGAACATAGGAATTTACTAGCAGATTCTTGGGAGCCTCTTCACTTCCCCATAACAGTCTCCCTGAACCTGACTCCTTCCAAAATTTACCTCCAAACATAATCTTCCCAAACCTTTGCCTCCCCACCCCCAACCTTATTGCCTCATACTTGATGTTCCCCAAAATTCATTCTCCACCAAATCTGGTGTTTCCTAAACCTCACACTGAATTTAAGATGCCTTAAGCCGTATTTCGCCTCTCTGGCAAGCCCAAGGAATGGCCAACAGCCCAGTCCAGGCTTGGCCAGCGCAGAGCAGGTAAGGCTAGGAGAGGAGAGTCAGTTCCTTAGACTTCACCTCCCAGCCTCTCATGTGACACCCGTGATAGTGACCGTACCTAGACGTGGCCTGGCCAGAGGGGCCAGAGACATTGTTGCACAAAAGCTCTTCAATCTGTTTTATTTAAAATTTTTTTTGGCTTTTAAACAATTTGACTTTCAAGTGCAGCCTCAGAGTTGTTTAATCCATTTCTTCCTCCTGAAATTCTCGAAATGGATAATTTAGCAACATCTCTCCCCAATGCCTGACCAATTCTGGTTTATCTATTTAAACGGGTACCTCAACGAAAGAGACCTATTACATACATTAGCTGTTTCCAAAGTCACTTTTTGTTGGGCTCTGCACTACCCATTTGACCCTTTCCCTCAGGTCCCGAGTGTGACAAAGCGTGGGAGTGGGCGTGGTGCAGGTGTAGGTTTTTTGCTCAAGTACCGATGTGGCTTCCTTGGTCATCTTGAACGGCCCGGTGGTGGGCCGGCGTCGGGAGGCGCGGAGGTGGCCCACGGTTCCCGACGCCGACCTCAACGGCGGATCCCGGCTGGCGCACCCCTAGTTGATCTGAAGCTCACCGAGCCTTCGTGCGCCATCGCCGCAGCTGTCGCTCCAACCCCGGGGTTTCAGCAGCTTCACCCTGCCTCCCTGCGGCCGCCGCTGCCGCGTAAAGATCGCCGAGCAACCCCGCGGTGCGCAGGGCGGCTCGCCACGTCCACAGTTGCCCCAGCAACCGCGCAGCTCGCTGCACGATCGGGTTACTCGCCCCGCCCAACGGCCGTACGTACGTGCGTCGTCTCTATGGTGGCGGCGGATTCCGCGGGACCCGAGGACCCTGGAGTCAGGCAAGCAGACCTGGGGCTGCTGGTGTGACCTCTGACCCGGGCCGGGGTCTTCGGGGAGCCGAACCGAGGGAGGAAAGGTCTGGGGACTACCGTGCCTCATCCCGCCTTGGCTCGGGCGCTTGGGGCCAATGGGTCCTCTGCCATCACCATTCCTCCTCTGGGATTCCCCTATCTCCCCATGACTCAGCCCTGGGGCTCCCCTCTCCTGCTCCAAGAGACCCTCCCCGTGCATGTGACCCTCTCATCACAGTCCTCAGGGCCCCCCATCACATCATGACCGAGTCTCAGGAGTCTTCCCTAGTGCTTCATGACAGCACCCCCCACCCCCCGCAGGAACTCCGCTGTCTTCTGTTTCCCGCGCGCCTCGTGATTCGGCAGTCTCTCCCCTAGGATGTTCCGCCGGGAGAGCTCCATCCCCCTTCGATGCTCGGCTGCCGCCCTGTGCAACAACCTCAGTGTGCTGCCACTACCTGTCCGCAACCTCACACATTTTGGGGTAGTCCATGGACCCAGCGCCCAGCTTCTCAGCGCTGCTCCTGAGGGTGTGCCCTTGGCCCAGCGCCAGCTCCACGCTAAGGGGGGAGCTGGAGTGAGCCCTCCACTTATCACCCAGGTGAGGCACGGAGTTGGGACGGTGTTGCTGAACCCAGTCTAACCCTGTCCTCTCCAAACCCCAAGGAACAGGACTTCTCTAGCTCTCTGAATTTCCACTGAGTCCTTATGTCCCTTGCTCTGACCACTTCTCCCTACTCCCATCCACCTCCCTGCAGGTGCACTGGTGTGTCCTCCCCTTCAGAGTATTGCTGGTGCTCACCTCACATCGAGGAATACAGGTAAGAAGAGGACCTTCCTGGCATCACCCAGTAGAGTCTTCTCAACTCCTCTCCAAGGCCCCTTGCTGCTTCCCCAACTGCTTCTAAACACTTCCAAACTTTTCACATGCTTAGCACACTCATCCTTATTTCTCATCTTTATTCCTTCCATCATTTCCAATTCCCAAGTACCATCTCCAATATCTCCCCCTTTACTAGCTGTATGACCTTGGGCAATTTAGTTAACTTCTCAGAGCCTCAGTGTCCTCCTCTGTAAAATGGGGATAAAAGTAGTGCCTACCTCCCAGAGTTGTTTTGAGGATTAAATGGGCTAAAGCTAACCTGAGTATGTGAAGTACTCAGCACAGAGCTCAGCAAAAGTCAGCTGGGCTGTGACCCCGTCCTTGCCCCTGTCTTCCAGATGTATGAATCTGATGGCTCTGTCATGGTCTATTGGCATGCGCTGGGCTCTGGAGATGCCTCTCCAGGTACCTGCAAGACTGAGTGGGGTAGGAGTAGAGAGTGTTTGCTGGGGCGGGGGGTGGGGGGGAGGGCACTATTTCTAATAGTTTTCCCTTTTCATACTCAGTACAGGCTGTGTTTGCCCGAGGAATTGCTGCCAGTGGCCACTTCATCTGTGTGGGTGAGGGGGCCAAGAGCAGGGCATTGGGGGTGCTGCGGTACAGGGGTGTGGGCTTTGGCCAGAAGATGCTGAAGGTTTGAGGACATTGTGGAGGGTTAGAGGGAAGGATGGGAGTGAGGTGGGGTTTCAGAGACTCCAAAAAGCCATAGAGGGTTTCAGAGGGGCAGGATGGAATAGAATATGGGAAGTGAATGGAAAGGCAGGGCTGTTGGAGCTGTGAGGGGTGAGTTTTTTATAAGGTTTCTGGGATGGAGGAAGTGCTGAGTCTGGTGGCTGGAGACTTGGGAGGATCAGGAAGCCATCAGTGGGGCACTGGTTCTGCAGGAACGTGGTCTGGCCGCGTACTTGTGTTTGACATCCCAGCCAAGGGTCCCAACGTCGTACTGAGCGAAGAGCTGGCTGGTCACCAGACACCAGTCACAGACATTGCCACGGAGCTTGCCCAGGGACAGGTGAGTGGATTCCCCCTACCTGTTCCAGTGAGCCTGGGAGCCTTCCCCACCTTGGGAGGCAGGGGACCTGGGTTCAAGTCTTGGCTCGACCACTAAGCAGCTGGATGACTTTGGGCAAACTGCTGCACTTTGCTAGGCTTTAGCAACCTCAGGTCCAGTGATGAAGCCAGACATTCTCTATATTTACATGGCATTTAATAGTTCACTGACACTTTTCAATACTGGTGTGAATTGAGGAGTTGGAACAGATGGTTTCTAAGATGCTTTCCAGCTCTGACATGTGCAGCTTCCTTCTCTGGACTTGGGCAAGTCCTCCCCATTCAGGCCCACCTGCAGTGTCTCCCACTCAGGGAAGCCTTCCCCCTATTCCAGCTCCCACTGATCTCCCCTAGCTGAACCCTGAATTGGTACTGCCCTCAAAGACAACTCTTGTCTCCCCTATTGGATTGCAAACCTCTTGAGAAGAAGGTATGTATCTTCTAATTCATATCCTCCACTGCACCTGGCACCAAGCTGGGCCCATGGCCTATGTTGGCTGCCTGGGGTTGGGGGTTTCAGGAGGCCCAGAGTCTAGTCAGGACTGTGACTGGCTCACTGCAAGGCCGCCAGAAGATCATAACAGTATGGCCTTCATTCTATCATCCATGCAGTGAGGACAATTAGATAGCCCCTCCTAACACATGGTGTGGGGTGGGGGTTGGGGGGAGACTCTATAAGGAATGTAAGGAAAGCATTTTAAGCACTGTATGCTTCCCGAGGGAACCCTGGATCCAGCTGGTGAGGGCTCCACATCTTGCCCTTTCCCTGGAGGCAGAGATGCAAACACTGTCTCCCTTCCCCTCCTGCCCTGTACAGACAGTCCCTGACTTATGCTTCGACTTACAATTTTTTGATTTTACGATTTTGTGAAAGCCATAGGCATTCAGTAGAAACCATACTTTAAATTTTGAATTTTGATACGCGGTGATACGCAGTACAATACTCGCTCTTGATGCTAGGCAGCGGGCAGTGAGCTGCAGCTCCCAGTTGGCCACGCGATCACGAGGGTAAACAACCCATACACTTACAACCATCTGGTATCCATACGACCATTCTGGTTTTCACTTTCAGCACAGTATTCAATAAATTACATGATATATTCAACACTTGATTATAAAATAGGCTTTATGTTAGATGATTTTGCCCAATGGTAGGCTAATGTAAGTGTTCTGAGCACGTTTGAAGTAGGCTAGGCTAAGCTATGATATTCGGTAGGTTAGGTGTATTAAATGCATTTTGAATTAATGATATTTTCACTTTACGATGGGTTTATCAGGACGTAACCCTATCGTGAGTTGAGGAAGATCTGTGCACAGGACCCAGCAGGGGAGAGGGGGAAGGGCTGATCTTGCCTTTCCCCTCAGGACTGCATGGCTGACGTGGTGACGGCAGATGACTCAGGCTTGCTGTGTGTCTGGCGGTCAGGGCCTGAATTCAAATTATTGACCCAAATTCCAGGATTCGGGTAGGTGAGGCAGAAGGAGGCTGAGGCCTTCCTGAGGTAGCTTCAGGGTGGGGAGTGGCCTTGGGTCTGGGGAAATCACAGTGGGGTATCGCCCTTGCAGGGTCCCGTGCCCTTCCGTGCAGCTGTGGCAGGGGACTGTGGCAGCAGGCTATGGGAACGGGCAAGTGCGTCTGTATGAGGCCAGTACGGGAATTCTACATGTCCAGATCAACGCCCACGCCCGGGCCCTCTGTGCCCTCGACCTGGCTCCTGAGGTGGGCAAGGTCAGTGTCCTCCTCCATCCCTCCGTAGCCTTGTTCCTGGTGCTGGGACGTTGAGAGGAACTCCACAGTCTTGTCTCTGTCACTCAGTGTAGCCCCTGGACCCGTGTAGTGTAGCCTCTGAGGTCAGTGTAGCCTCTGGCCTATACCTGTCCCCCCACGTTCCAACTCCCACTTGTCCTCCCTGCCTTTTTGCTGTAGCTACTCTCTGCAGCTGAGGACACCTTTGTACACATCTGGAAGCTGAGCAGAAGCCCCGAGAGTGGCTCCATTGAGGTGTGTGGTGAGATGAGTGGAATGGGGAGCCCAAGCATGGGGCAGCAGGCCCTGAGCAGCCCTCTTCTCTCCCAGGTGGAACACTGTCACGGTGAGTGTGTACCCGACACCCAGGTGTGTGGTGCCCGATTCTGTGATCCCTCAGGCAGCTCCTTTGCTGTGACTGGCTATGACCTCGCTGAGATCCTGAGATTCAGCAGCGTGTGAGAGAAAAGCAGCCCTCCTTTCCCCCTGTAGTATTTATAAAGTACCCCCTCCACCCAGCCCTTGTCTGATTACTCGGTATCACAGTTATACTTCACAATGGTGAGCTAAGCTCCAGGGATGAGGGGATGGGGCAAGTCCAGACCAAGCAGAGAGGCAACCTATCCTCAAGAACCAGGTGAGGGCTGCTGTTAAATAACTTTAATGGTTGATGTGGGAGTCAAAGGGAAGTGCATTCCCTCCCGGGGCTCTTCAGTGCCATCCTCAAAGCTGGTTAGTGCAGGGAGGGAGGGCAGGGTTGGTTCCAGTTTTCTCCCAGGAAAGGTTGAGGGGTTCCCAGCCAGCCCCGGGAATGAGTCCCTCAGCACCATGGCAACCACAGCTTAAGAGGAGCTTCTGTTCCCTCTCTCTAGCCTACCCCCAGTCCAGCAGAGGAGGGGGAGGCCAAGCTGGCCAACCTGGACAGCGCCATATCCAGAGCCCAGTTGCACACAGGTCCTCTCTTCTGGTCAGATCCTGTGGCCAGCACTTTTCTCTCTCACACTGGTGACTGGAGCCAAGTGTGGGGTGGGCCTTTGCTGCAGAGTCCTCTGGACCGTGGGGATCGCTGCTGGGGAAGAGGGGCCACCGAGCAGGAAGCCCCAAGGGAGTGGTCTGGGGGGACAGCATCCAGGGAGAACGTTCGCGGTCGCCCCCAGGGCAGGGGGTGGGTCCGGGCTGGGGCTGGGGCCACTGAAGCAGGCGAGCAGGGACTAGGCAGGGCAGGCTGCTCTGTAAACATTGCTAGCCAGGGTGGGGGCATCTCCAGCCTCGCGCCCTCCCGCTGGGCCAGGATGTCTGTGACCGCTGCGATGTCATCCAGCGGCTCAATAGCTGTGGCACCAGGAAAGGGTTGAGGGGAGGGGGCTAGTCAGAGCTTAGGCCCCAGGCCTACCCAGCCCTGACCGTCACCTGTCACTGTAATAGGAAGAAAGCAAAGCCCGGATCTCGGCCGAGATTGCGTTATCCTGCAGGAGCAGCCCCTCACCTGGGCCCCCTGGAGCCGTGGCCTCTGATAAGACTATGGGATATGGGGTGCAGGATGAACAGGGATGAGGGTTTCACAAAAGTGTGAATAAATCAAGAAAGAGGAGAATGAAAGCAGTGCCAGGCAAGTGAAGGGTCAGGAAGAGACAGGAATCCGCATGCAGAAAGGGAAACAGAAAAGAAAAAATTAGGAAAGAAATCCAAGAAATGAATCTGGTTCTTTGGGGTTTCATTTTCAACTTTAGTGGAGGTGGTTCTAAGAGTGGAGAAGAGAAAGGAATACAACAGGACTGAGGGGGACTCGGGTCTCCAGAGCTCTGCCTTCACCCAGTGTGCTCTCTCTCTGTTTCCATTATCTGGGTTCCCTTAGAACCCCCACCCTGCTTCCCCTCAGGCTCCCAGAGGGCACTTTCACTCACCCATCTCATGGTACAAGGACCCCTGCTTGGTCAGGACTTGGGGTGGTTTCCGGGGAGCGGGGGTTTCGATTTTCATGATTTCATCACAGCACTGCTTCCATTGGCCTGAAGGGGGAGCATTGATTGGGGGTGGGAGGGGAGGACTGTGAGAGGGCCAGGCTACCCTCTCCCCTGCTACATTCCCTTCTACACATTCTTGAAATAGAGGCCTTTGGTAAAAATAACAAACCCCAATCCCTCCCTTCAGTCCAGACCCCTGCTCTTACTCATGTCAAAGAAAAGCTGCCACAGAGCCTCCATCCAGCTCTGCAGGGCTCCCCGACTCTCTGTCTGAAGGGTGTGCGTCACCTCGTCCTCCCCATACTGGTTACTGATGCTCAGGGTGAAGGGCCGGCCTGCGGCCTGGTCTAGCTCCCCTGCCCGGACTCGAGTCTCCTGCAGGAGAGAGAAGCGGTCTGCTTCCACCTTGGTCACAGAAGTCAGCAGTGACATCAGGCAGGCTTGGTCACCCCTGCCTTAGGAGGAACAGCTGGTGGGGCTTTCGCCAAGCCCTCTCATTTGCCTCCTACTGACCAGAGTGGGCAGGAGTGGCAGGAAAGGACTGGGGATGAGACAGATGGTCCTTGGGGAAAGAGGAGCAGATGGAGACAAGGAAAGGGACTGAGCGAGGTGGGGAAGGCATGGTGGTGGGCAGGAACGCTAAGGCCTAAGGTCCCTCAGCACTTCCATAAAAGCTGGCAGGAGAGCCAGCAAAAGGGCTAGGGAGCAAAGCGGGGTCATGGACTTGGGTTGGGAGAGAAAACTGGGAAAGAGTGAAGTAGATGCAGATTGGAATCTGAGGGGAAAGATGGAAGGAGGATGAACAATCCTAGATTGGCTGTAGAGCCCTCTCTGAGACTTGGCAGGGGCTGAGGTTGGTGAGTAGAAGGGACAATCTTTTTCCATTGATGCTGGTGGGGGAGAATATGGTCCCCTCTGGATTCCTGGCCCTGAAGCTGGGTGTGGTGTTGTTAGAAGCAGGAGGCTAGCTTTGATCCCGCTGAGGTCTGCACCCACCCTCCTGGGGCCTGAAAGAGAGGCTCCTGGGCACTGGCACCTGGTGGCTTCACCACCAGGGGACCCATCACCTTGTTGATTGCAACAGTAAACAGCGGCTCTTCCCCAGTGTCTGCGTCTTCGGGGTGCCGGTAACAGAAGAGGTTTGTGCCTTTCAGGACTCCATGCACTCGCGCCCAGTCCAGCCGCTCCCCAGCTTGCTGCATAAATGACTCCAGGTTTCCTGGGGGAATCACACCCCCAAACACCCTTCTTCCCAGCCCCCATCAAGAATCTGCTCCTTTCTACCCGCCCTCTGATCCTCCTCTCATCTTGCCATAACCCTCCTTCCTCCACCCAGATCTTGATTTTTCAATAGTCCTTCGATTCCTAGGTGATGCAGCTCTCCTCTGCCTTCTCCCTGTTCCCTTCCACTCCTCAGGGCCCCCTCACCTGCACCCTGAGGGTACCACTGGCAGTAGGCTGAGTCATGCAGAGAGGCTGAGCCACCAGGCGGCAACACACGCTACCATAAAGGGGCAGCCAGGCAGGGTTCTCCTCTGGGGTGGAGGAAGTGCAGGGTGAGGGTGGAGAATGTGAAAAGGACCATCCAGTGGCCCCCTCTTCTCACCATCCAGTGACCTCCATGCACACACATACTCACCATGGCTGGCGAAGGTGAGGTCATGTGTGCGGAACCCATCTTGCACTGCTGCCAGGGTGAGGGTGGTGTGAGCCAAGAGGTGGTAACGAGGACCACTGCAGGACAGACAGAGCTGTGGGCCTCAGCCGACTGAGGGGCAGGTTAGAGGGCAGGGGCTGCAAGGACTGAGCAGGTCTGTTCCATTGTTCAGGCTGCCCCCCAGAAAACTAGCTTGCCTCCCCCACAGGGACAGGAACAAACATTTACTGAGCTCCTGCTGAATGCTGGGTCCTTTGCTTTAAAGATGTTACCCCAACAGCCCTGTGAGGCTGGTGGCATTCTTTAGTTATAGATGAAGCAGCTTGAGGTGTAGAGAGGTTAAGAAATTTGCCCATAATTTATAGCTGGTAGGTGGTGAAGCTGAAATTTGAACCCATGTCTGTCTCTAAAAATCAGCATTCTGTTCAGTACCCCAGAGATTCTCAAACTGCTCCTCAGAGGCTCAGTGTTCCACTGGGTGCCTTCTGGCACCTGCAGGCAACACTGCAGGGCCCAGGCTACCGTGCTCCAACCAGGGCGCTCTGTTCTAGCTACGTAAGCTGTGTTTGCTGCTGCAAAAAGGTGAAAACCCTGGAATCGAGCTCTCCCTGCATTCCTCTTGGTCCTGGCAGCAGTGCAAAATAGGTTCTGCATGCTCAGCACAGCTCAGGGTCACGCGTGGTCAGGATACAGGCAGCTGAGGGCAGTGGGGGAATACAGGGCCTTACCCCACAGCCGGGGTGGGGAGCAGGATGGGACTGCTTCCCGAACCCCCAGCACTCTCCAGTGATGCCCGGACACGCCTCCCTGAGGAACGGCCCAGGGAGCTGCTGAGTTTGGTGGCAAGTCTCTTGGGGGCACCAGCCAGGGCCCCCTCCTCTTCCATGCAGGCCCCATACAGCTCCAGCCGCAGTTCAAAGTCTGGCCCTGCCTCAGAGCTATAAGAACGTGGGAGGAAGAGAGGAGGATGGTCCTGGGGAAGTCCAGGAAGGCATGGGGGTAGGAGGGGTGGAGTGAGGTGGAGGATGGATGTGCAAGTGCAGAACAGCTCCATGGGAAGGCCCATCTCCCTCTCCTCCTCTCCTCCCTCTCCTCCCCCTCCCCCCCCTCCCTTGTAGCTACCTCATCTGAGCATTGAAGCAGAGTAGAGAAAGGAGGGAACCACAGGGATGAGGTACTCACAAGAGCACATTGTTCTGAAAGGAGATGTCCGTGAGGGTCCTGTCCACCAGGATCATCTCTGTGTCCTGAATGTGTTCCCCTAGCTGCAGCAGCAGGAACACGGCCCAGCGGTGCAAGTCTGGGAACAAAGAGGGCAAACTGATCAAGACTGCCCCACAAGAGCCTCCAACCTCAGAGTCACTCCCCTGAATTTGTCCCAGCATGTGTGGAACTCACCGCCTTTGTTCTTGAAATATTCTGTGTCCTTCCACATGAGTGGAATCCGGAGGTCTAAGGGGCAGAGGGGTAGGAACAGATGTTGAGATGGGGCAGGAGGTCTTGTGGTTGGGCAAGGAGTGCCAGCAGCTGGGGTAGCTGTGCTTCTTACCAGAGATGCAGACGCGGCCACGGCAGGGGGAGCGCTCAGCGGGTGGCCCGCTGTCAGAAGGCCTGTGGGCAAATCACATTGTCCTAGCCTGGCCTCAAGACTCTACTCCCCTCCAGCTCCAGTTCCCAGGGGCTCTAGGACTCCCCTGGCCCAGGGCCCAGCCCCCAGGTCCCTAGCCAGACTGACATGGCAGGGCTTCATAGGTGAGCTCTGGAGGGCTCCTGGCGACCTCTCCTTGTGTTAGCCTTCATGGCTGAGCTGGGATGGGCACCATACCAGTGAGGGGCCGGGACCTTCTCCCCACTCAGCCTTGTGGGATCAAGCAGACTACTTTGCCAGAAGCCAATT